AGCAAAAGATGGAAAGTACAGATTACATCCAATTAGCTTATGGTCTGTTAAACTTAGGGGCAAATATTTTTCATATTACCTTTTCTTCTAGACTTCACAACAACAACATAAAATTTTAACAACCGGTGCAAAATATTTTCTTCATGGCATGGAAAAATGTTCAGGCTTAACATATTCGTGTGTAGTTTTCTGCTGGACTTTGTGTTCAGTAGTGGTAGCAGTGAGTTCCTGTGTTCCATGACATCTGAGAATGCATGGAAAGAAAAATGAACAGGAAAACTCCCTCTGTTGAGGGGGGTGGGGAGGGGGAGAAGAAAGTATTTGTTGCATTCCAAAATCAGTCATAATAATGGAAGTTCACATCAAATAATTGCTAGAGTCAGAATGGGCAAACATCTGGTTATTCATCCCTAGCTATACTAAGAAAAATATGATATCCTGTTAGAGAAATCACTGATCATCCTGGTTTATTTTGGCGATAGCGCACCTTGGTATTTTTCACTTTAAAAAGAACATATCAGTACTTTATAGCTAGCATATCTCCTGCTCCAGGTTCACAGTTCATGTGCTTCTGTGACTTTGAGCTCTTCCTTTCCTGAGGTTACCAGCAGACAGCTGCACTAGAACAGATATGTTTACATGCAGGGAGTAAATGGCAACTTGCAGCTCAGAGTTTCCATTTCCTTTTACATTGTTCAGGAATCCAGGCTCACAACTCGTCCTCAAGCTTCGCCTCATGTGTGTGCGTCTGACTTGGCCCTTTATAGTACAAATGCTTTATTTTGACATTGATTTGTTGATACAAAGGGCTGACTAGGGAAAAGATACTTTCATTAGAAATTACCCTCAATTCGTATCAAGTTCAATTGTGGGTGAAATAGCTTTTTGAAAAATATTCTAAGCATCACTTTCTGTAAGGTTTTTAAGCACTATATCAATGTAAGAGTAATGTGGAACCACTTTGTGCAGCTTTAGCAAGATAGATGTATTTTTAGATGGAGAAAAATTAGATTTTGTATTAAGAATGATGGTGAAATCTGATTAGCTGCTTAACACACGACACTGTCTATTTAAGCTAATGTCACATGTAGGTGATTCCCAGATGTCCTTGATAAGACAGTAATTACATAAAGGAGGTTATGACAATTATAAACAAGAAACAAAACCATGAGAGTGATTTGTTCATTTGCCTGAACCCTGAAGTAGAATTAAAGACTCCAGTGAAAAGAGTTTGTTTTGACTTTGCACCACCCAACAGACTTCTCTCTATTGCCCAATTTCACCCCTATGGGCTTCTTCTTCCCCATTTTCCCCTTACCTTATTTTGATATTTTGGGTTCTTGCTCTGAGAGAAAACTATGGTTTATTGATGATTTTGATAGCAGGAGTGGGTGAAGTAGATGTCACATAAATTATCTCTAGAAAGACCTGTAGCAATTGTGTGTTCTGTTTTGCCTACTGGCTTTTGACCTAAGATCCCACAGTTACCCAGATGTGTTAGAATGAGCTGCTTTTGGTCACACTCATGTGGATATTTTATGAGAACAAATTATTTGACCTTATTTGACCATTTTGATGCAGTTTATTTCTGATATATATGTAAATTAATTGCTAGGTTTGACCTATAGCCCACTCTTAACAGTAATGCAATGGTAGTGCTGATACTTTGATTTGCTTTGATTTCCAGGCCACAAACTCAGTTCCTATGTTCCTAACAGCACTGCTGATATATGAAATTTTAATTTTTAATCCTCATTCCAATATTCTTTATGATGCTTAGGCTCTAAAACTGAAGTACAAAATCAAACAACAGGTTTGCACTTTAGGTTTTGTACTTTATATGACCACACAGTGAGAGTCCAGAGAACTGTACTGACTGAAGATTGTACTCAGAAGATAATATTTTAGCACTTGTCCAGCTCATCATTGAGTCTTGTCAGTGCAAAGAGGAGATTCAAAAGGCAAAACAAGGCCTGGGACTATAATAACACTGATCTAGTATATGTTTGCCATGGAGTTGTGTTCTCAGCCTGGAACAGCAAATTATTGTGTGTGTTTTCTGTGAGCTTGCTGAAGGCAAATCATTTACCTCTTTACTTTCATTAAAACTGCATTGGAACTGTGTTTGTGGCCTGGAAATCAAAGCAAGCAATTAACACCATGCTGGTACCTATTACAAACCCCCTACCTGCTTTCAGGGCAGCAGCCCTGGTAGCTGTGCTTCATGGAGCTGGGAAATGGTTGCTTGGCAGGGCATGGGATAAAGAGGCATCTGGGGGTGGGGGGGGAGCTGAAACTGGGCGAAAATATAGAGGCAGGTAGAGGTCCTTGTGTCACAAACTTTTCTTCAGCTGAAGTACAGCAGGCCACAGCTACTAAAGTAGATGTTTGTTGCCCAAAATTTATGTGAGTTCACCTGTAATTCTTTTCTATTGACAAACTATGTATGAGAAATTATTGTCAAAATAAATGGACCTGCGTTGTACTTTAATTTTCTGTTGTTACATGTAAAGTGATTAGCTCACCATGTACTACTTTCAATTTCTGTTGCTACATTTAAAGTGATTAGCTGGTTTATCTCATGATCATGAAGTGTAGAGTAGTTTGAAACTTCCCATTCGTAGTCTGTGTTTTTCATTGACGCTTTCATTTGAAAGCAGGAAACAATCTGAAAGTAATTCTATTAAGTGTTTCAGCACAAAGATTTTAAAATATAATAGCTTGGCATGTTATTCTATCTTCTTAATATTCCTTGGAGGAAATAAAATGAAATTGCAACTTTCATCCAGGCAGCTTTTCTACTACATCCTGTTTCCTTCCGCACGCTGGAGAAAGCACTGACGTCTGTCTCCCTTTCCTCCACTTCCAATGAAAAAATCCCAGTCTCCGTGTTGTAGCACCCACTCTGGTGAACTCTGACACAGTGTTTGGGTTCTTTAGGCAAAAGTGAATTTTATCCTCCATATCAAAGGGAAGATTGCAAAGAATATGGAATATGCACAGCCCTGGCTGCCTGGACTGCCCGAAGGGTGGCTTGCTGTGCGAGCAGTTGCTGTGGAAGGCTGACATCTCTGCTTTTCTCCCACTGAAAGGCAGACTTGCAATCCCCCCTTTCTCAGAGGGAAGCTGACCCTTGAAAAGGCTTGGCATGAAATGGATTAACTCCCTGGAAACTTTGTTTGGAAATGTTAGGAGACTGCTATGTATATGTGCTGGCAATCTCTGTAAGAGACAAATTATTTTCCCACCCTCTCAAGCACTTGGTAGTTTATCTGTTGTTTATATTAAAGATTGATCGTGGTTATATATTCCTAATTCAGGGTTCCCATTAATCACCCTATGCCACATAAGAGACTGGAGAAGAAGAATGAGGGTTACTGGAAAGCAGAAATGTGATCCCTGGCTCTGCTTTTAATGTGACTTATCCTGGCATTAGCTTTGCTCCTATGAATTACTGCATTTGTGTAAACATCTTTTTTTTTTTGTTTGGTGTGTCTGTTTTTCTCAGGGCTATTTAGAAAAAGATGATATAGTTATTACAGTGATGGAGGAGAACGTTAATCATGACATTTGCCATGTTACTGTTTCAAGAGATCCCTGCTCCCCCCAGCAGGCCCTCCCCCTTGTTTGCTACTACTTGCTTCCTCTCCCAGCCCCAGCAGCCATTTCCTCCCTAGAGCAGATCCAGGCAATTGTTTCAGCCTGTGCAAAATGAAGAAGAGGTGGAATGGGACCAGTGGGGTTAGGACAAATGCTGGGACATCCTAAAGTACATCAGCTGCCAACAGTGAGATGCTTTCTGCCACAGCAACAGAGCAGATCTGTATGTCCTCCTCCTTGACCCTGCTGAAGGTTGCCAATTTTGAAATGTTCACCATTTGTGGTCCCTTCCCCTCCTGAGTATGAGAAACAAAACTTCTGGCAAGAGGGAAAGAGAAGGGAATTTACGAGTTCTTGCAAGTTGATTTGGGCTATGAGAACATATTACCAGCCCTGCATGGAGTCAGGTCCAGAAGCCTCTGGAGCAAGTTGTTTTCCTGCCCTGACTTGTCTACCTGAAAGTCCCTTCACATCTTTGAGAGGTGTGCACTGAGCCCAGCTCTTAATTGTGTTCTGGTGGGAAATCGTTGCATCAGTAAATTTTCAGCCAACAGGAGATCTGATCCCTTTTTTTTTTTTTTTATTTGCTCTGTGCTTGTCTTTGTCTAATATAAAGAAATTACTTAGATTTTAAAAGAAGCAATCAAAATAACTTCTGTATGACAAATCAGAACAAATTCACTCTGAAGAGACTGGTATCCTTTAATACAGATTACTTCTCTTTATTTGTACGTCCTCTAAACATGCTTTGCCAGGTGTATCCTAATTTTGCACAGATTTTTCTCTTGAGTCATGTTACATTCATGTCTGACTTCTTTGGTGCAAAATCCCATTATTAAATTAGTTATTTAACAGCATATTCAACACTGAGATGTGGCAGTAACTGCTGGTTTGTGTTTATAACTAAACATCCTCTCCACAAAAGCAAGAGATCACCAGAAGTTCTGCAAACCTAGGAGAATTTAGGTCCATTAATGGTGATGAAAGCACATCTTTAGTGAAATCAAAGGAGAAGGAATAATATAGGAAAGTCTTATATCTGAGAATTTGCAATCATTTTACACATAATTGCACCAAAACAGTGATTTTAGAGGACCATGTATTTTTTAAGTACTTTGATTCAAACTAATTTAGATTGCTTGGTTTCCCCCCCCCACCCATGGAACTGCCTTTGATGGCATATTGTCCATATAAGAATAAGAGAACTTATTTCTGAGTTGAGAATTGGTTTTTAATCAGACTCAGTAATGTAAATAGACCTCTATTTAAAAGTTCATTCAAAACTGAGTACTGGTGTGTATTTTTAAGTGCACTGTATGCTGAAGTAGAAATATCCTCCAGTGTTTAACCAAAAGCATGTTTAATGTGTGGTTTTGTTTTGTTTTTTTAATGTTTAACAGTAACTGAAGCTGGCTTTGGTGCTGACATTGGGATGGAGAAATTCTTCAACATCAAATGCAGAGCATCTGGCTTGGTTCCCAGTGTGGTTGTGCTTGTTGCTACAGTGAGGGCTTTGAAGATGCATGGAGGTGGGCCAAATGTAAGTCTTTGCACCTTTCTTGGAAAAATCAAATTGTTGCTAATATTTGAAATAAGTAAAAGACCTTGATTTAAGAAATACTTGGGGTAGTCTATGGGGCAGTATTTAGATAACCCTTCTGAGATACCTCATAGTATAGATGTTATCACTAAAGTTAATGCTGTCTCTAAAATTAAGCCACAAATGAAAGATGAGGGACAAAAGAGCTCTGAAGAAGTACTATATCTTGCAGAGGAAGAGAAGGTTGGTGCATTTTAAAAAAAAGCTGTAAGAGATAGATATTCTTTTCCCTGCCTTTTGAAACAGCATTTGTAAGTGCACTGAAGTCATCACAGGCTGGGAAATTTGACAGCCAAGGAGGAATGAGACAAGTTCGAGTTGTAGTTTGTGAGTGGAAACAGAGAACATTGTTTGTCAAGGTTTTGACATTTCTTTCACTCCAGTAATGGGTACTCCTTATGTCCTTTTATTTTGCTCAGATTAATACCCTCGGGGATGCTGAGGTAACTGATGAAATTTTGCAAGTGTTTTCTGGGTGTACCAAGAAATTTTTTGTTGTCTTAAGCCACAAAGAGATTTTACAGATTACTGATTGTAGAAATGCTCCCCGAATGTGCAGTCAGATCAGACTGTGCTAGCCAAGCAGAGAGACACTTAACTCCTAGGAGCACTTTCATCTGCCCAGCAGCATGCTGGAGAGTGATGCTGCCAGGGAAACAGTCACACTGGGGGAAAATACCAGAGCTGTTTCCACAGCCACAAAATTTTAGAAGGCATGGTTTCCCTTACAGTTAATCTTCTCTAAGAGTTAAAGCTGAGCTACCCTTTTTCAGTCTTTCAGGCTGATGTAATGATACAATTTTCTATCATTTTAGTACACTTCTCATGGATGTCTTCTTTATTTTGAATTATATTTCTCCATCGCTATCAAAGGAGGTATATTTTCACATGTGTTATCACTCAATCTAGCAAAAATAGGACTTAAATATGTCTTAATAACTGTCTCTATTTCTGTCTCACTTGTGTCCTTAGAAGTTTAAAGGTTTCATTTGTTTACAAATGTGATGCATTCATCAGTGAGGCATGTAGAGTGCCAGATAATTTTACTGGGAGGTTAACTATAAAAAGGACTAATGCTAGAGACAAAAGTAAGTCTGGTGCCTGGGACTGACATTATGTGCTCCTTGGAGACTCAGCACAGTATCCCAGTACCCCTGTGATGCACTTTGCATGTCTACCTTTGTGCTTTCCAACCAATTACTTGCATACAGTTCCTTGCCATGGGCAGTAATTAAAGAACATCAAAGATGATGTTCTTCTGTGTTGCTGTTATTTCTTCAGCTGTTGCAAATTGCTGCCTATTGTCTTTGCACTGCTGGTGTGCTGTAACAACATGTGGAATGAGATCCAGCTGCCTCTCCTAGTAGGCTTTTGCAGCTAATTGCTGAGGCACTACCTGTGTCCTGCTACCCAAATACAATAGGAGGTGTTGCTATTGTTTGTGTGCTGGTGCAACTGGGAATAAAACACAAGCTGCAGTCAGGCTGTGATGCTGTGTGCACTGATATGGGTTAACTGGCAGTACAGAAAGCCAGCAAAATTGCACTTCAGACCCTTTAGGGTTATGACAAGTATCAACCTGTGATGACTTTGCTTGTTTATTATTACCTGATCCCAGGTAACTGCTGGTGCTCCCTTGAAGAAAGAATACACAGAAGAGGTAAGAGGAACTGTTATAAAACTTTAAAGAGGGTTTTGTTTAGAGGAACAAAATAATATGGTGTGCAGAGAATCAGAACTTCTCCTAGCTCTGGCTGAGTGTGCAGCCTCAAGTTTGACAACAGCATGCTCTAAAGCTGATGTTCAGCGAACATGGGCATGCCAACAACTAAAACCACCTCATCCTCCCTCAGCCCCTTTGTGTTACCCCTCTTAGATGTATGGTGTGTGTGACTCTGTGATGGATTGTAATAACAAACTGAAATAACTGAAAAATAACCTTTTTTCAATAGTTTTTCCAGGGCCACTAAGTTTTCAGACTGATCAATGTACAGGCATTTATAGAAGCACAAGAGCAGCATGGTGTAGGGGTCAAGGACACTCCCTGAAATTAATGATAGCATAACCTGTTCATTAAAAGAAAGTTTAATATGTTTATGCTTCACATATGGGGTGGGATGTGACTCTTCAAACAAAGAGTGAATTCTGCTGGTTTGTTTTCTTTGTCACTTCACTCCAGACAAATTCTGATCTTCTGCTTGTGTGAGGCTAAGGATATGTGTTTTGTTACAATTAAGACAAGGCCTACAAAGTGTGAGGTAAAAGAGTAAACAAGGAAATCCAGTAATGTGCTTGGGGTAGTCTATGTATGTGCATATATGAACTCTGCACCTGACACATCTGTATGTCAAACCCCACCCCACTACTGCAGTCTGTTTATAAACTTTGCAAACAGCAGACCAACATCCCTTTCACAATCATGACAAGCAACAACTCATCAGCTGCACCATCTTCCTGTGTCTCAGAAGAGAGGAATGGGTTCATGTACAAACTTTGGACACCGCTTAGTTACTTAAATATATCTGATGCTTATTAATTGGAATGAGAATTAATAAGTGCCAGAACACTTTTGTCTGGAAGAATTTCACTTGCCTGCAACTGTCATGATCAGCATTGTTTATGTTTACTTAAATTTATGGAAATATCTTTGGCTGGAGAAGACTTCATGTATCTTACCATTTCCATTAATTTTTATTTAATTGCACAGAACCTCCAGCTGGTAGCTGATGGCTGCTGTAATCTACAGAAACAGATTCAAATTACTCAGCTCTTTGGAGTTCCTGTTGTGGTTGCTCTGAACGTCTTCAAGTAAGTCTGTTCTTTCATTACTCTTGTTCAAATTCCTCACTTTTCTTGGGTTTTAAATTATTCTATTTGGCATGAACAAAGAAGCTATTAAAGAATTTCATTTTTTCATCATGAATATAAAGATATTTAAGTTTTTAGCTTGTTTGTAATGTTCTAAAACCAACAAAAAGAAGTACAGAGCTGATAATCTTCCATGTTAATTAGCTATAACAATTACAAAATTTTCTTGAAGCATGTAAATACATATGCTGGACATAAAAACATTATGTATATGGCACAATTTCTATATATACATCTACTTTACCACTGCTAATGGTAAAATAAGGGTAAGTTTGTAAGGTTGTAACAGAGAACAAATTAAACAAAATAATGAGACGGGACTGTTTGGTTGGCAGAACTGACTCTCCAGCTGAGGTTGATCTGGTGTGTAAGATTGCAAAGGAGTCTGGAGCATTTGATGCTGTACCCTGCAATCACTGGTCGGCTGGTGGTAAAGGAGCAGTAAAATTAGCTCAAGCTGTGGAAAAGGCAGCCAATCAAAAAACCAGTTTCAAATATCTCTACAGCTTGGAGGTAAGATTTCTTTTCTTTCTTTTTTTTTTTTTTTAATGAATGCATTCTGCATCAGAGTTGGATTTAAACAAGAAGAACATTGAGAACATTGAAACAAAGTTATCCAAAATACTTGGAAAGGAACTTGCCTTGGTTTAAAGCTGGAGAGAGCAAGCAATCTGTGGCTTGTCTAATCAGGGAGCAGGATACTCCCTGGTAATGATTGTTACTTAGTGCATTGAATGACACTGATCTGATACTTTCATGTATCATATTTTAACATAAAGATATGTATGTTAAACATAAAGGTTTAACATAAAGGTGTGTTTAACATAAAGGTATATATGCAGATGGAACACTCACTGATTTATTTGGGAGACTTCTCCAAAGATGTCACAGTGACAGTATTTGTCCTGTTGGTCAGATAACAGGAGATGGAGTTGCTGTCCCACAGTCACAGGTACTGCACCAGGCTGTGGCTTCCTGAAGCATTCACTGTCTGTCTGAGAAGGATGTGGCAGGTAGCACATCCCACACATCTGCCCAGCCCAGCCAGGTCAATACAGAGAGGAGGCGCTGTCCTTAGCTGCCCTTCCCTGCACAGCCAGCTCTCAGGTGAACACAAAGGTGACCCAGTCCTGTTCCTTCTCTCCAATGATCAGATTGGAGTCTGCCAGTACAATATGGTACACACAGTACACAGGTCACTGCTGCTGCTGCTGCCCCCAGGCCCTCAGTCTATGCAGGAGCAGTCCCCAGGGCTTCTGTCCTGCTCCAGCTGATGGCACCAGAGTCCACAAGCCCCTGAGGACTGCAGCTCACTACAGCTGCTGGGCACAGCCCTTTCCTCACACTTTCTGTCCTCATGTGCAGAGCAGAGAGCACACCCACACAAAAGGCAGTCAGAAACCAGATTTAATAAGAATGGAGAGGTCCTCAAGCACATAGCTCAGTTAGTCAGACTACTGGCCAGACACTTTACACACAACTGACCCCTTCTTCCTCTATTCTCTCATGTTCCTTCCTCGCTTACATCTTTTCAATCCACCTTGATTGCTCCCTTTTCCTATCTTTGCTCCTTCCACTAAACAATCTTTAGACAATTCCCACTATCCTCTTTGAAAATCCCATCATAAGGTTCACACAGTCCCAAAATCTGCTTTTTCATACATCCCATAGAGTCCTATGCTGCTGTACACAATCACTTCCTTTCATTTGCAAAGGTTTTTGATCAAAGAATTTCCCTGTTGACCCATCTTGGTGCATTTCACACCAAGGACAATGGTCTCATCCTCCCCTTGGATTGTCATAGGAAGCAGGCTCAGGGTGCTCTAATTTTCTCTGATTAGGTTTTTCCAGTGATTACATTACAGAAGGTTCCTCCACCTATCATTGTTCCTCTGATCCTTGCTGGGGCTTTAGGGCTAATTTGCTTAGCCCTTAGATAACCTAACAAAGGATAGTGTGGTCCAAGTTTCAATGCTCTGTCTGCCAGAGTTAGAGACTCTTTTTCCATGCCTTGGAGACTGTTATTGCAGTTGTCTGCAAGGTAACATCCCAGCATTGTGAGCTGGATGTGAGCTGTCAAGGGGAGCTTGGACCCCTGGCAGCACTGGAGGTGCTGGGGTACCACTGTGCTGGCAGAACATTTGGAGGGACATATTGCCAAGGAGGTTACACAAGTGATTTCTCAGGGCCTTCCTGGCTGTCCAAATGTGGGTGGGTTTAAATCTGAACTGCCAAACAGACTTCTCTGGCTCCAAGGAAGCCCTTGTCAAGTTTCAGATCCTGTGCCCATGCTACTTAAGTTTCTTTAGAAAATGTTCAAGTGCTATTTTTTTACAACAGAACCTTAGCTTCATTCTTTTAAATGGCTGGAAGTTCCTGTTTTGATTCTTCTCTCCAGAAAAAAGTTCAGCCTGAGGTAGATATGCCCTATGGTCATCTTTAGTTCTCTCTTCTCTTTGATATGCACCCTGTATCTGTTGCCCCCATTTTATTTGTTCTTTCCACCTTCCCTGCTGTTTCACAAAATCAGTAATTTTGTCAGTAATCCAGCCAACCCATATCAGTACTAACCCCTGCCCTGACAGAATAGATGGAAATGAGTTGGGAATATTGGTGCTGCAGCATGTATTCAAGGCATTTTGCCCATGCAGCAATTTTACAGCTGACAAATGGACAATGTATAAGCCTTTCTAAGTTTGTCTCTACTGAGATGCTCTGAAAACTGAAGCTGTCATCTTATGGGGCTTGTGTAATAAAATGGGGAAAAAAATTCTTTGAGAAATACTTGTTACAGTTTTCCTCACTGGACAATTGTGTTGGAGGGATCGTGCATTAACCTTTGACAAGGCTCATACCAAAGCTCTGGTGTTACTATCCACTGTGTAGCTTACAATCTGGTGGTTCAAGTGAGTAAAAAGGATTGGTAGGGGTGGATTCTGCCTATAAAGAGAATCAGATTGATTTCCACTTTAATGTCTTTCCCAGACACATCGTTTTGTGCTGTGTTGCATAAGCAGCATGAGCACAAAGGGAATGAATCACATCTTTACATCAACTCAGTATCCTGTAACTTCACACAAGTACTCTAAGCCTCAAAAATACGTTGAAGGGATTTTATAAAAACATATAAAGATTTTTAAATACTGTAAAAAAGTACATTCAGGCCAACAAAAACAGTGAAGTATAAAGTTCAGGCTTCTGTTTCATCCTTAGTGTGCAAAGGATGGGAATTGAAGCAGCTGGAAGTAGGAGAGTGAAACAGCAATGCTGCCACTTTTACAGTATGTAGGTCAATTGGTTACTAGGCTCACAGAGAAGTGAAGGAAAGCCACCTCTCCCAAATAAGCCTGCCCTGATTTTTTTTTTTTTTTTTTTTTTTTTTTGGGTTGTTGTAGCAGTTTTGAGGTGTGCTTTCTGCTGTTCAAAGGGGTAAAATTAAGAAATTAAAGGATGATAGGAAGCAGTAAAATGGGATTCAGACAGGTTATTTCCCCCCTCATTGTGCCTAAAGGGGGTGTAAGTGAAAGGACATAGTTCCATCCCTTATCTGATTGTCAGACTTGTCCAGTTACTTGAATAATATTAAGTCCTGGTTGCCTCAAGTTTCACAGGATTTACTGTGGTTGGGTTTTTTTTCTGTTTTCTTTCCCTTTTGGAAGGTCAAAGAGGGGAAATACTCTGCTTAAAACCACTACCACTTCATTCATATACCTGTCTTCATGAGATTGCTCTACAGTTCCCTTTACTCCACATCTCCATTTAATCCTGTGATGTCTATGCACCTTGTTTTCCTGTTGGAAAACTTCATCAGAATTTGCTTCCAGAACTGGCTATAATTAGACAAATTTCCAACAGCACAGACCACTGTAGCTGTAACAGATTCATTCAATATTTTGATCTTTTGTAAGAAAACAACACCCAGGGTATTTAAAATAAAAAAGCTTCAAACCCTTATATATAAAACTGGTTTATATCCTTTCTTTCTAGTTCAAACAAACTTTGCAGTAAACTATCTTATTAGTGTGCAGTCAGACATGTACTTAGAGGATAGCCCATGTCAAGTGGGCTCTCTTTATTTCATTTTTTTTCCAAATGCTTTAATCTCTGTAGTGCCTTATGAAATATCCAACTATATCTTTGAAAACAAAAGCTTCCTTGAAGGGTGTTTACAAATGTGTATAGTGTGAAAAGAACACTAGAAGAAAGTATTTTCTAGATCTGTCAAATGCTGGTTAAAAGTTGAGGATCAGATGTTTTTTCTGAAGTATCTTTATACATTTTTACCATCTTGTCCAGTGAAACCTGAGCATGTGCCAAATGAGCAGTTTTGGACACTGGACACAACACAGTTGTGTGAGTTCAGGACTCAGGCTCTGCTCCTGTTCAGTATCATAGCAAGCCAGTCTAATTTAGAAGACTGTGCTCATTTTATTCCTTGAAGCATCTGATTTGGTCTCTTTAAACTTCATTGAGTGTCATTCCATGACATACTCTTCTATACTCCCACTTTTAGATGGCTTTTTAGGTTCTCTTTATTTGTTTCTCTAAGCAGGCAATTTTTTTTTCTATCCTAGTGGCAGCTGCTTGTAGTTTGACATTTTTTTAGTTTTGATTATAGCAAGGATTTGTTGGACGTTTGGTATGAGATGAACAAATATTTTTGGGGGCTTCCAATGAGAACAGAATACCTCATATATGGTTTTGGGAGTGCATATGTGTGGCAGTCATTTCATGGATCAAATACAAGACATGACCTATGACAAGTAAATCCTGTGCCATCTCCACTGTAAAAGTGTAAGAAGAGGACAGAAACAGAGTAGCCTGAAATACTTACAGTATTAGGAATTGCACAGGTCAGGGGGATTGGTTCAGGAGCTACAATGAGTTTTCATATCATAGACTTCAGAGTTTATAACATAGCTTAAAATATTATTGGCAGTAATTGAAGTAAATTCTATGTCATGGTGTGGTTTTAGTATGGATTTTTGCCCCCTCTGCACAATAATCTCTATTAAGTTACTGTTGAGTTGGTTTCTTGCAGAGTGTTTCTCTTCAGTGTTTGAAGGATGGGTTTGTTTAAAAGGCCTCCTGAACTCTTTGTGAAATCATCTGTGGAGGTTTATTTTAATATATGTTCTTGCTACATATGGAAAATATCAAAATATCAATCCTCTTATCGCTGTTGACTTCCCTTCTGGGTTCAGTTTTCTTGAAGTATGGGTCTTTAAGTTGCAGCAGAAAGCTATTACTCAAAATAAAGTTGACTGAACCATTAAAAGTAAGTTTAGATAAGTAGGGGGAGGAAAGGAGAGGATGGAAATGCATCCCGTTCCCAAATTTCCCTGGCTCCAGTGCCTGTTCTTGATCAGGAGAAGGGGGAAGCTGTGTTCCTCACTAATGCATGCCTGCTGAGTGACCTGCCTTCACTCTCCTGGTCTCCTCTCTTCTGCTGTGGTGAGCTCTCCCTTGCCTTAGAGCAGCCCTCCTCAGCCTGGCATGGGAAGAATAGCTCT